GCTCTCAAAATTTCCCAAAGAGATTCAGGTCATGACATTAATGCATTCGGTGTGAAATACATGACACGTACCACATCAGTGCAAATTATAAGTACCGGTACATGGACATCAGCAGTGAGTCATATTTAAATTAAAGGGACTTACATACAATGTACATGTATAAACTTAGCTTCCAAACAAATGGCGAGTTGAGGTACCGGTACAGTACATCTGTACCATAGCCATGAGCTCACAACGCAAAGATTATGTGTACTACCCAGCCAATTTACAGTGTAAAAAAAAAGTACCCAGTACCCATGTACATGTACATGTAAAATTTTCCCTCTTTTGTTGAGAGTGGCGCTGCAGTTCAACATTCTCCTTTTATTTTTTTATTTATTTTATTTTATTTGTTGGGGGTTGCTTAGCCAGACATCGGGTGTTTTCATTCAACCTTTTGAGATACGGATTCTATTTGCTGCCCAATTTTGTCAGCTCTGCTCAGCCGTGCGTGTCAACCTGTCAATGCACTTGGCTTTCCTGTTTGAATGGGCTGACCCCTATACCGGAGCTGGAGTCGCTGGAAACATGGAACCGGGTGTCCAGCTACTTGTACATGTCGTTCTATTATATTACAGTGCATTGTCTTTGATTGTAACACAATCACTAGTTTAAACAACCGTATCGGTTACCCTCATGTGCTCAAGTGTGAGCAATAATCCTGTACTTACATGTACATGTACGTGGGCTTAACCCTAACCTTCCCCAACCACACAGAGTTAAACAGTAGTAAAGTGTTTCATTCTGTGGGGATAAGTCTGGTAGGCCCATAACAGCTGGCTTTTGCATTGGGTTTGGCATACCTCAGAAAAACTAAACCAACAGCCTCCGTGCACAAAGTCTCATGTGCCTTTGTGTGAATGGGGAAGGTTAGGTCCAGCAACCCTTGGGCAGTTAGGGTTAAAGTGAGATGGAAAAAAAACTGTTTGTAGTGGAACAAGTACCATTGTCTCCCTTTCCCATCGTTTGTGCATTTAGCTACAAATAAAGGCAAATGTATGCGCAAGTGTCAAATACCGCTAACTAGAACGTACATGTAATGGTGTGACAGTTTTACCTTTTTTTCAGAGCCGTTTGAAATCATCCTCAAAGAGTTGAATCCGATAATTGTATAAATCGCTTTATAAATTTATACTGACCAACTCTGCAGTGTTAATTACAGCGTTAATTTTTGTGTAGATGTTCTGAAAACTAGACGTACATGTACATGTACATGTATCGGCAGACAGACATGTAATACAGGTAACAAAATACATGTACAAATGAACTTTGTACGTGAACATGTGTATGTTAATATGGATATGTGAAGTACATGTACATGTAAAAAAAATTTAAATCTTATGGACGGCCGTGTGTGGCGTGTTAAAAGAAAACTCTCAGTTTAAAAACAGTGTTTTTTAGGTTCCCTGCAAAACTGGCACAGTTTGTGTTGTCACAACCCGAGCTTGTTGAGTCAAGCGTTGAGGAACTAACCACACCGTCTCGTATGCAGCAGGATATCCTGTTGGAAAACCCGCGCCTTCATTTCGACCAATTTTTATTAGGCCCGGCTGCCCTTTGACTTCATGGGCTCATCCTGTGTAGCACTTGCACGTTTGCTTCCCCAATCACAGAAATTGCCGCCCGATTCCGGCTGGAAAACTAGCCTCCGATCATGTGATAACTTGATAACGGATTATAACTCATACATTTACATGTACATGTTGGACTTACATGCCATACATCCTGACAGCCTGAAAATGCATTGAACACAAAAAGTGAACAAAAAACTTATAAGACACAGTAGAGAGAGTAGGTCCCTATTTATTTACATATTGGATGGAAATTGAAACACCCCTTCCAAAAAAAAGCAGAAAGTGCATGCGCATGTGATTATCCCCATTATACAACAAAATTAAACATCACAGTACAAATCTGGCTGTGTTTAAAATGAGTGTTCGGTCAAGTTGATGGTCAGTGTTCATGGAGACCTTTCTATGGAAATCTCTGTGTAATTCAATTTGAAATTCCTGACATTTCCACAGACCTCTGGCTGGGCGAATCTTTTTAGTTAAAGCAGAATTGAAGATTGTTGACATTGTGAGAGCAAAATTCCCACAGCATCAACTTTAAAGGAGCAGTCTCAAATAAATTGTACCTGTAGAAACATGCCACATGCCCTGGTCGGTACATGTACAGTCCATGTACAGTATACTTATGTTTTAGGCACATTCTCCAGAATATGTACTATAGTTTGAAACCTTTATAAGGATGAGAGTAACGTGTGAATTTTTGTTTGTTTCAAGCAAGTGTAACATCATAATTTCGTTTTCAACAAAAGGCACTGGTATGTAAAATAATTTTGCATACCTTTTGTTGAAAACGAAATTATCATGAAATTTTACTAAAATTTCACCAATATTATAAGGCCTCCGCGTAAAACCTTAATTGCCGAAAGACCTTTGCATAATGTGTGGAAGCCATACGGAATGGAGCTTATATTTGTACAAGGCATTGCGCTTTAAATGAGAAATACATGTATGTCCCATCCCTAAATTGAATCAACATATGTCGCTGGCCTCTTGAAGATATGGTAGCTTGGTACATGTAAATATTTGATGGCGCATGGTGATGGACTTAAGTATGATTGGCCCTGCGTGGTGTTGAATGTTCGGCATCTTGCAGAAAAAGATGAGCATGCTATCTGAGCGACGTGTAGTAGATGTGATACTGCTTTGTGTGGCTGGATTTACATTTACATCGAGCTCGTTGATGAAAGACTTGTGGTTGTCGTTTGACCGTCTTCAAGTGCACACAAGCAGCCAATAAACATTTGCAAGAGCATTATACGATTGGACTTTGATCCCGAATGACAGTGAAGACAATTTATCGCTCCACGCACTCCAGATTCTGAAATTGAAAACTTGTGGCCTGTACCATACCTACATGTACATACATGTACCAGTACGCTGGATGGCAGAGGCTGTCATGTGCAGGCAGTTTTCATCTTGGCAGAGTTAAAATTCAATTTCTATTGATCCTCAAAGTAGCCATACTGACTTGCACCATGACAAAGATATTGGCAGGTTCATGTCAGAAAGTATAAGGCCACATCCAAATGAGATGGCTTTGGTCTGAAATTATATACTGTACATGTACATGTAGCGGTAGGTTTTAATGCATGTAATGGTTAGTAACCAAGTTAGTCCTAGCTTGGAGAGAATGCCAAATGAATTTCAAAATGGAAAGTCAAACTCTTGGAGGATTTTTTTGATCGAGGAAAGCAGAACCCAATCACTGATTACTTAACACAGAGCTCAGTGCTTCTAGAAAGTACCAAGTATGTGCTATTGGTTACAAGTACTTTGGAGGAATGGAGAGAATTCTAGCCAAATGTCTCAGAAAAATTGGGTGTGTAATTCATTTCTCCAACACGTCCAAGATCGAACCTCACCACAGTACATTGTGTTGAGAATGCATCCCGTGGATGTGGCATTTTTGGAGAGGAAAGCAACTTCTTGTAGACTTTTTTAATATTTAAGTACTGTCCAATTTTACCAGTCAGTCTTTCCCACCATATTGTGCCTTGCCACCACTGTGTCATTGCCTCTCTATATGGATGTTAATAGCACTCAGTACTAAACCGTTGGTATTTGAATGTAAAATTGCCTTTCCAGAGCAGCACATTGTCCAGTGCCAGTCTGTTTCTTCACTTCATGTTGGTGTAAGCATGTATCTTGAATCAGTCGCTGAGTACGGTACAATACATTGTACAATGTATATCACATACACCTAGTGTGTGGGGCATCACTTGTGTATTTGTCTGACGGTTTCAGTTTGCTGTGTGTGTCATGTTCCTAAAGGAAATGAAATCGTTCTCTCAACTGGCAAACCGTGCTTGTGCAGATCCGTGTGCTGCTTGTGTGGTCGTAACCTGCAACTTGTATTTTTTTGTAACTTCGGTTCTGTTTGCACTGAATGCATGTGTACATACGAGTATAGTTTTTGATATTGCAGCCTACTTCCTCATCCAAAAAGTACCAGTGCTGCAAGATAAAGGCGACGTAATGACCTGTAATTACAATGTTGTGTTGTTACCATATTTAGTCGTCACTTTTCTCGTTTGCCCTTTCAGTGGTGCCTACATGTACATGTATGTGTAAAGTGTACTGTATGAAAGTACATGTACAATGTACATGTACATGTGCACTTGTGTGTGGTGACTGTACTTTGAGAGAAATGATGTAGGTTTTTGCATTAGCCACAAACCAAGTAAAGGGTCCAGTCTGTAAGCAGTATTTCCCCCATTGATTATAAATACTAGTATCTCATTTGACACTTGTGAATGAACGTGCAAGGTGTAGTTTGAATGGGGCTGGAATGGAAGCAGTTTTCATGCAAAGTTGTCATTCCCTGGTAAACTTGCAGTCAAATTGGATTTTACGGGAATTTATCTGTCAGCTTTGACATACATACAAACAGGAAAGATTGAATTTAATAGGATGATAGAATACATGTTGTACATGTACATGTATGTGTACATGTGAATGTGTACAGTGTACATTTACACAGATGCTCAGACACACATGCTCAGTAGACCCATTCTTTGCGCTGTCACTGTTACAGGTTTTGAATGCCAGTGGTTAGCAATCTGTGGTTGGCCTTCAGTACAAAATCAAAAGAATAATTCACAGTGTTTAAAAAATCCCCCCCAGCTGTGTCTGGTAAATATATCGAAGTGGAAGTACATGTATATGTAGGTACTAGAGGTAGTGGTCCCCACACCACCTGCACAAGTATTAAATGCGATTCCAAGCATCCAAGCACAGGTGCGATACAGGTGTATGAAGATTCAAGGGATGCAACATATCTGTGTCCTCGATGTCAACTTTCAGTTCCTGTTGTACAGTTTGTTTTAGTCTTGCCTTCAGCAGCAGGTTTGACACATTGTAAACTGCTGCCATTGCACTTTTTTGTTACAGATAGTGTGTTGCCATGGGCAACCTGTTGCTAAAGCTACGAGGTCCGCAGGATGACGACCCTCAGATCTTCATTGACTTCGAAAGTGAGTCCCAAAGCCATCGGCTCATTGTCAGGGCAGTACCCTTTCAAGATCGTGAAAATTGGTATTTACAGGAGTGTCCACCAAGGCGATATTTTTGTGAGATAAATGAGAAGAATCAACAGCAGAGTGTTGAGTCGTGAGCGTTAAAAAAGTGACCCAGCAGTACTTGAATTTGTGCCCATGGTGGATGCTCTTGTTAGTTAGTACTGTAGTTGTGCTGTGTTCTCTTGGTTTGGGATTCAAAGCCTGCTGTTGTCTTAATTATTTTTCCACCGATTACCAACAGAGGCGGAGCCCAAGGAAGACGAAGACGAAGTATACTCCATGGTGGAGGATGTCTTAAGGGAGGCAGACGAGATACTGAAGGACCTGCAGCATTATGGAGGGGCGGGGGAATCCATTAGAACGGTAATGCACCTGCCAATTGTCATCCCTTCCCCACCTTTGTACCTTTTCACCTTGGTCCAGTGTTCAAGCCCCAGGTGTTTTTACCATGTGCATCTTGACCCTTGGCACATCACATGGAAGGGTAGTTCTAGGGGGTGGGGATTGGGTCGCTAAGAGCATTGATGAGATGGTTAGGGATGGAGGCGGTTAACTACTACAGAAGTTGGGTAAGACTTCATGATGCTTTCTTGCTACCACTCGACACTGTAGGATATGAGCCACTTTCCAAAGAAAGGACCCAGTTCACCTGTTACCATACATGTATATACATGTAAGAGCTCAGCAAAATTCTTGTCATTATAAAAAAACCAAGATACAAATGTATTACTTTCCTGTAGAGACCAGCTGGCTTCAATACTGAGGGACAGTAAAGAGGGACATGCATGAAGCATTCCTTATACAGGTGTAAATGTTGTAAAGCACTCGCCACTGATTACTTGTGTTTGTTTTTTCATATTTTTTCAGGCTATTTGTAACCCCAGAAATGAAGATATGCAGCAGAAGGCCTGGGCTGACGTCTGTCCTTTGGTAGCACGGCTCAAGAGATACTTTGAGTACTCACAGAAAATTGGTAAGTCAGAACAAGAAAGACAGCCAACTAAAAACTACCAGAAATGACGACAGTCGTTAGTTATTACTGCCTGCGTTTTGGAAGCAAGAGTTTTGCCCATCAGTGATGAGATGTTGTCGTCACTGTTGACTGGGTATATGCCATACATAAACAAATGAGGGGGAAACAAAAAAGGTTTGGTTTGATGGAATTCGAACCTATTACATCTTGCTTACGAGTGCAAATACCTTCAATGTGCATCCAGAAAGGGGTAAGTTGAAACTGAAGTTAACAGGCAGTTACGGGTACTGCTCCTTGTACACGCTTACTGACCTCGCCGTGTGCGGAATTGAACGTGGACCGTGAGTTACTTAATCTGCATCAGAACAGAAAAATGAATGATTTGTCGTCATTTTTGTTTTTACCTCAATGTAGAGAAAGCTTTGAGGCCGTTACTGCAAGCGTTATGTGCCGATGTGGACATGAAACCAGCTGAACACCTAGACAGGCACCAGGCTTTGGCTAAGCAGTTTGCCAGAATCCTCCATTTCACCCTCAAGTTTGACGACCTTAAGGTGAGTGGAGTTTGTCAATAGTCAAGTGGGAACAAATTGACAAAGAATGATCACTTAACCGGTGGCTGATTGCACCTTGCGCCCATCTGTTAATTATTTGAGTGCCAACAACTACACAAACTTTGATTGAAGGTCATCTCAGGCTCAGGCTCAGGCTTATCTTCAGGCTCAGGCTCAGGCTTATCTTCAGGCTCAGGCTTATCTTCAGGCTTAAAGTTGACTGGCCGTATTTGCCAAAATTTTTTAAAAGGCATGCAAGTCACTGTCTTTTTTTGTGTTTGTAGCCAAAAACGTTGCACAACAGGGTGTTTCAAAATAGTCTGCAGGTCGTTGAAATTCCCCTCAGAGGACAATTTGATGAATGGCTTGATGTGAATTGCAAAAGCTGCAGCCATGGGAAAGGAGCGATTTTCATCCCCTTAGAGATGCTCAGCATTCTCTAATAATGCAATGCGGTAGTCCAACGGTGGCTGTGGCCTGGAGGAACGACTGGCCAGGTTTTGTCTGGAGCTCTTGTCCAAGTGGTACCAGACTGTTGCCTTTACTTGGGCTTGCCCTTAGGGCCGGCTCTGTCTCTGGCACCAAGACCCTCACCAGTGTCTCATTCACTTCAGTGGCCTGATTGAGTCATCACACATGCGAAGGTTCTAAGAGTTGGCTTCTGTGGCCAGTTAAAAACAAAGGCGTGTTTATGGGCGGAAGCTTCAAAAACTGGTCGGGGTGAAACATGAGTAGTTTGACATTGGGCAAGTGACATTGGGCCTGCTAGTTGTGAAATCATGTAATTTATCCAAATAGGTCAAGCTTTAAAAATCTACTCATTGGAAAGTTGATCAATCAGGAGTTTCTCTTATTCATCCTGAAGCAGTTTTCCCCTTAAACTTTTTGTGTTTCAATACAGATGACCAATCCATCAATTCAGAATGACTTCAGTTATTACCGGAGGACGCTAAGTCGAATCAAGATGCAGGACTCGGTGAGCTTCCCCCAAACCCCCCCCCCAAGTTTGTAATGTAACAAAGTGTTAGACTAGTCAAACAACCAAAACAATAACTATAACAGGTTCGGTCAAGTTTTTGGATGCCCTGCGCATTTTTTAAAAAAACAAATCACATTGCGCAGTTGGCACGTCATACTTGATGATTCCTTGCAATGTAATTGTGACCAAATTTCCCCCCCCCTCCCAAAAAATGTGGACTTCAGTTCTGCTTCTAAGAGGTAAATGAGGAGCAGATTTTTTCATGAGAAATCTTAACATTCTCATCAAGCACAATTTTCTTCATATGAAAGAGACGCGTGCCCACTGTGGTTGTTGACTAGTCCATTGGACTTAGTACTGTTTACCCGAAGATGTTGCATCTAGCCAGCATCAAATTTCAAAACCATGCTCTTTTATCTCCTTTCATCTCATCAGGACCAAGGCCAAAACCGCACCTATGCCGTCAACAACGAGATGGCAAACAGAATGTCCTTGTTTCTGGCCGAAGCTTGCCCGATGCTCAAAATCCTGAGCGACTCGACCACTAAGTTTGTCACTGAGGTAAGCTTGCTTCATCCGTCTGTTCGGGCCGTTTTATACTTAACCACGACCTAGCCGTGACCAGGTTGCTCCTGCTAGCATTCTTATATAATAAAGTCATTTTTTGCTTGGGGGGTTACCTTTTAATTCAGAGTGCCGGTCATCATTACTTGTAGCCTCAGAGCTGAAGTTGGAAGTGTAGCCACATTGTGGTCAAGCCGTAGGCATTCAAAGGCACCTCAGACAGCCGTTATACGACCCATATTTGACTACAGAGCACAGCTAGAGATTGAAAGTGTTTATTTTTGCCGAAGGAAGAAAACCAGAGATTTTAGAGGGAAGAACCCATCATGGAACAGGAAGGAATTAGGGAACAGCTTTGCTCACTGATGGATTGAGCCAGGATTCGAACCTAGGCCAGAGTGGTGAGGGGCGGGTACCTTACACACTAGCCACCTGTGCCGCCCATTATACCCCACTTTCATTCTTTGTGTCAGCTGGTGTAGGTCATCACCTGTATGTTGGTCAAATACTGACAAGATGTCCAGCAATATGTAGATATCAAGACATTTCCTTCCATCTCTTCCTGCAGTGCAAGCAGGTTCCTGTTGAGAACACGACCGATGTGCTGAGCACGATGGTCTCCGTATGCAAGCTCATGATAGCTAAGAGGTAAGCATGTTGTCAAATTTTGATGGACGTCAGGCTGAGAATTCTTTACCACTTTGTGCCGGGGTATCTAGTTTTGAAGACACAGGCTTTATACACGAAGCTGGGGAGCCCGAAGCTGGACAAAAGAGCTGGGCCTTGTAACAAAAGACCGTACTCTGAACAAAAGACGGAGCTGCTGGGAATCGCCAACATTTTTTCAGTTGTCATTAGGGGAGGAAATCCATCACTGTTTTGAAAGATTATACCACTGTTTGTGGCATTCAGCACGAGCGGATTACCACCGGGGACAAAAGTGATCCAGGCATGAGCGATGTAATACCACTGCACGCTAGTCTGACCCCTGTTGAAAAGACGTCAGCAGCGCACTGTGCCTGTTTTGGGAACAAAAGAAAATTACGTAACATCGCACAATCTGGACCCTTTTCACAAGGCGGCAGGTCTGGCTGAAATACTTGGGCGTCAATAGATGTTGTCTGTCAGATTAGAGTAGCCACCAGAGAGCCATTCATGTGGGTGTAAGCGTCCAGTAAGTGAAGTTAGGAATTTTTAAAGAAGTTTGAAAACAGGAAAAAATGAAAAGTCACCCGGCCCAGTAGAATCAACATGGATACATGGGCCCGGTGCAAAGTGGTTAAAAGCAAGTTGTTTAAATAGCCCAAACTGGTCCTCAAACTCGAGCAGGAAGGAGTGGGGGGCGTAGGATGGGGGAAGGGAGTAATTTTCCTAACGGTGGAAATCTACCCCACATCGCAATCCTCGCATATGAGAGATCTCTGGACCGGTTTTACCTGGTACCCCTGGTCAGCTGATGTGGACAGGTGAGCTGAGTTGTGGGCTGATAAGTGCAACGTTTGGCTCCCTGATGGGAGAGGCATTTGAAGGCATTCAGCCTGTCACAGCTGATTCACATACAGCATGTATACATTGTTTTGTCCCTTCATAACTTCCCTGGGCAGGACCATGATTGATACCGACACCATTTGTGTGCCCTTGACTACTCTTGTTTGCAATCCAGCCTCGAGTGAAAAACTATGCAAATTGCACTTGACCGAGTTTCAGCTCTCGTGCAAACAATCCGCACAGAGTACAAATGTGACCCACTCTGACAAAATGAGTCACAAGATGCTAGAACCATCTTTGTGACAAAAAAGGCCGTTTTTGCAAAATCTTACACAGGGCTAGTCATTAGGAACCCTGAACATTTTTCACCCGTGTAATGCCCATTTCCTGTGGATGTCAAACTGAGGAATATCTCACAACGGAGAACCCACTTTGCTCTTCCTAATGCCGACAGTAAAGGAGATAATTGAAACTTAGCCTCAAGACTCAATTTGTTATATCCAGTCATCAAAGGCGATTGTGAAAAAGTTTGTGGCAGAGAAGTACTTGGCAGTTACAAGTAATTTATTTCCTTTCATTTTCACAAGGACTTCACAGAATACGGTATCACTTATCATGCTGTTTAGATCTATCATTAAGTAAGTAGGTTTATTTGCTACCTGGTTGAGAGTGCAAAGCTGTTTTGCTTTAGGAGGCCAAAATAAGTGTCCTTTCCTTATTTTCAGTTTCCGTTGGTCACTAACGCCAAGTTTCCTCACGTTTCACTTGTTGCCCTTTGTGCGTCAATTTCCCTTCCTTGGAGGATGGGTTTTCCAGTTGTGTCCACAGTGCCCAGTCACCGGGGTTTCCCCCCTAGTCCTGTTCCGTGATACTTCCTCCAAGGAACTGGAAGCTGAAATTACCTTCTCTGTTTTCCCGCACCACTGCTTCACCAACAGAGCTCTCCAGCTCTACCCAGGCTATCTCCCAGCTAATCAGAGAGCCTGTGTCTTCTGTTTTCTCTCTTTTTCCCTCTCTCCAGCGAGCACTACTGCAAATTCCAAAACGAAGACACCGCTCTCTTCTGCATGCGTATCATGGTCGGCCTCATCATTCTGTATGATCATGTCCATCCAGTAGGCGCCTTCGACAAGAAGTCAAGCATAGACGTAAGTTATTTTGGTCTTCTCTCCTTTCTTATCGGGGGAAGTGAGCGGCAGGACTTAGTGGCAGAGTTATAGTGCAACGATTGCTGTGGCTTCATGACGCACTCATATCCTGTTTGTTGACGAGTTTGGCAGGGTTGCAATAGTTTACTTGTGGAGCATGGAATTCATTGGCACAGTTTTATTGCGGGGTTGAAGTAACATTTGTCTGAGTCTGACTTTCTTCCTTTTTTTTAATTTGACAGGTGAAAAGTTGCATAAAAGTGCTAAAAGACCAGAGTCCGAATGAGTTGGAGTCTTTGATGAATGCACTGAGGTAAGACACGGACAGAGTTGATGTCTTGGGTTACTTTGGTGGCTCATGCAAAGTGCACCATTGTAGATGTCAGAGATTGCAGGTGGCATTGTGGACGTGGCTTTTGGATTTGGAGGAGATGTAACATTATCAGTCGTACATGGAATGGAAAGTCAAACCACAGGTCGGGTCGCAAGTTAAGGCACACAGAGAATGAACAACAGCAGTTAATTGAAAGGGCCTTGGCATTACCACAGTTCATTTGTTATTGCCTGGCACTTAACTTGAGGCTGGACAGTAACTTGACTTGAGACTTGACAGTATCTTGACTTGAGACTTGACAGTAACTTGACTTGAGACTGGACAGTAACTTGACTTGAGACTGGACAGTAACTTGACTTGAGACTGGACAGTAACTTGACTTGAGACTGGACGGTAACTTGACTTGAGACTGGACAGTAACTTGACTTGAGACTAGACAGTAACTTGACTTGAGACTAGACAGTAACTTGACTTGAGACTGGACAGTAACTTAACTTATCTGGATGTGCTGTTGAGCACCCAGAGCTATGAGGTATTTCAGGGCATCCAAGGGCTTGGAGCAGACAGAGCGGTGTGTGCTCCCCTGTGCCCCCATTTCTCCCATTTTAGGGTCTTATGTTCCTCTTCCTGCCCCTGATATCACCTCTTTCTGTACCCTCAGGTACATGCTCATAGCTAAATTCATCCTTAGAGTATCATGGATTCAAAAACACTACTTTTGGAATCAGTGTCATGTTACGTTTGTCAAGTTTACCTCCTCTGATCAACCTCCTCAAATCTCTTCCTGCAGGTACAACAGCAAACACTTCAACGACGAGACCACACCATGCTCAACTAGGGCCCTGCTCACCTGAGTTAACCTTTGACACGACCCTTCCCCCGGTCATATCTTGCACACAATCCTCCTGGCAGGACCTATCTTTCTTGGAAATCTTAATGGCAGAACAGTGGTCCGGTTGTTTTGTTAGCCAGGTTACATAGGATCGGCCAAGAGAACGATTTGTGCGTTTTGGTTCTGGGAACATTTCTGTAGGTAAGAGATGCAGACTTTTTTAATTTCGATTTATTTATAACCTTGATACCAGTCATCGCTGTAATGACTGATTACTGTTGGAAATCTTTGATCAAAATTTGTGTAATTGATTTCAGTGATTCCGTAGCTAATTAGTTTCATGTGAACCAGAATTTGGTAAGGAACTTTCCCGCCTGTGAAAAATGGTTTCCCATACTGACATGGAAAATCTCTAAGGATGTCTCAGGTGCTTGGAATTGGCGATGGGCTGCAGTGGGAACACGTCCCGTTTTGAAAACGTAAAGAAAGCTTGTCCTGCAGTGGGAACATTTGCCTGGTTAATGCAGGATTAACCTGAAGGAAATATCGCTCATTCCTACTGGAAAACAGTCAGGGTTCCACGAGGTGCCTTCTGTGGTACACCGACACTCCAAGCTTAGAGACTCTCCCTAAATCCTTTGATATGTAACTTATCTAAACCAACTGTTGCCCATTAATGCATCGGTATTTTTTTACGAGCCAAGGAACAAAATAGTCTTACCTTTGTCTTGTTTTACGACTTCACTCGAGGCCGTCACATAATGGTGTACCATACATGTATGATCTTAAGAATATCAGCATATTGATTAGGTATGTAACGATCTGGCAGCATTCCAGCCATGCTTGGGGTAAGTAGACTCTCATGAGACTGTGTTATTGTGGATTGTTTCAGTTCCTCATCCTTCACCTGTTGGAGAATGGAGGACTGAAAGGCCAACGTTTTAGGTAGAAGTGGTGCTCTTTTTGGGGGGGGGCTGGTTGGCCTTGTTTTTTTCTGCGATATACTTTCTGGCAGGGATCCTTTCTGAGGGAAATAGTCATTCAGGTGAAACACCTTTCATGTTTTTCAAATTATTACACGTTGCAGTCTGTCATTTAATTAAACAGTAGTTCAAACCCAATTTTGCGGGGCGCATGTGGCCAAGTGGTTAGGGTTTGTGACTTCCAATCATAGGGTAGGAGGTTCGAATCCAGCTGCTGGCAGTATGGTATGGTCTTGGCAAGCCTCTTCACCCCTGCTTGCCTCTCTCCACCCAGGAGTATAAATGGATACCAACATTAGCTGGGGAAGCAACCTGCGATGGACTGGCATCCCATCCAGGGGGAATAGAAATATTGTCAGTCGTTTCATGCCAAGGAAACCAGAGATAAACACTGGCCTTATGAGCCAAACTGGCTCGGACCAGACTTGGTTTTAAACCCACTTTACAAATATGATGTGATCGTGGCTTAGTTCAAAAGGAAAATCCCACCCAAGTTGGAATCCAATTTGGGCTGTAGCTCAGGGGAAGTCTGGGTTGGGAAAGTGTTTTCCCTTTTTCCCAAGCCCCTTAAAGTTCTTCCAGTTGTTTGTTGTACCAATTCAAATACATATAATACAGGTTCTTGAAGAGGGAGAGTTTCGGAAGTGCTCATTATGTACATGCAGAACTTGTGTTCTTTGTCAAAGGTTTCAATGTAGAAAATCACTGAATGATTCAAAAGAAAAATTGGTAATGTTGTTTGTTAAAAAGTCTTCATCTGAGATAGTAATCTCTGTTGTTGCATAGTATGTGAGAACTATTTTTCCAAAGTCCCGGAGATTCGTTTTGCTTTGTAACTTTTGTATGATCTTAATTATTGGTTAAATAGAAACTTTATTTTTTGTTATTTTTTGTACGGTAGAATTTTTTTCACACTTGAAGAAATCATGTACAAGTAGGGCGTCAGAATTTTGTATAAATCTATCCTAAAAACTTACTTTAAAAGGTATTGAATGTTTATGTGGATAACTAGAACTCTATCAGAATAGATGCAAAGTGTAGATATAAAAATATTTTTTCGAATTGAATAGTTGATACTTGATAGTAGCCTGTATACTTCCATCTATAAGATACTATAGCAATTACATGTGAACAGGTGTCTTGAGTAAGTAAGGTAAAAAAAAACGGCTAGAAAAGCTAGATGAATGTCTGAATTTTTTTGTTTTTGTTTTTTTGAAAGGTATATTCACTCAGAATTTTTAAAAGTAAATTATTGTAGGAAGTTTTGACCTCTTGTGGGAGAGGTCAGGTTTGCTGTTCAAAAGCTTAAAATTATCAGTTTTAAGGATTTAACGTCGAAATATGCATGGATTGAAGATATGACAAGAGAACAGTCTTTTCCATATAAAATTTCACAGTTCAGAGCTTTTTTTAGCATTATGGAGTGCGAAAGATGTCCTTGAAAATAGCAAATTGTTTTTCAAGGTAATGGACAAGATTTGAATTTTTGAAAGAGGAAAGAACTTCCAAGCATACAAGGAAAGCAATTCTACCTGTAGATATGTGGGTTAATTCATTTTTGTAAGAATGGTCGTAGTTATCTTATGAATCACATGTTAAATGGGCAAAATGTCATAGTTGTCATGCTGTAAGAGATGAGAAGATCCTCTTCAAGTGCTGACATTTAATGGGTCAAATGGACCTTCCACATTTTACTTCAAGCATACCCTTAGAGGGTATGCTTGAGACCAGTTCTTTATAAGTCTTTATAAGTCGCAGAGTATTGAGAGGCGATATTAGACCTGCCTGGTCCCCAGGGTCCTCAGATTGTTGGCCCAAGGTCCTCAAATTGTTTGCCTGTCCTCCATTGTAACTTCTTAATCATCTTTGTGAGGCACTAAGCCAACATCAGAAAAAAATGCTCCTGGCAAAGCACGGTTTCTTTTATTAAGATGAAATCTGCTTTTGCTCCGTACTTGCTTAACAAATAGAAACCTGAAACTGAAGGCAAGAAGGTCTTGATTTTTGTGGGGAGATTTTTTTCCAAGAAAGCACCTTGATTTTTACACCTCACCGAGGACTTTTGTTGTTCTTATCTGCATGCAGGGTTTACCACAGTCAAGGAAACCTTTTTCTCTTTCTCTTGTTTTTGTCAGTGGATAATTATACAAAAGTCACCCAGTTTTATGCTTCGAAGATTTGAATAATTTGTAAATATTTTGTGCAAGTTTGGGTTCAACTTTGTGTTTTGAAAGTGTGTATGAAATTCATTGCTCTTCTGAAACTTAAAGGATTTGTTTAAAAGGCGCTTATGAGAGAGACACTCTTCTTTGAAGGAGTTATGAAATGGATTTTCGAAAAGATTCTCCATTTTGTTTCTCCATGATGAACACAGTTCCAACGTTTCCCCCCTTCCCCGACACTTTGCTTTTCTCTCTGGTTCCGTCCTTGTCGCAGAGTCGCTCATCGCATTCATGTGCGAAGCACAAGTCAGCCGGAAACCAATCGCAAGAAGTTTATGTAGTGCAAAGGCATTTTGGTTTGTCAGTGGCATTTGACGTGCTTTGAAAATTGTCGGTGTTGAGCAGAGTTTGGGAAACTAGCCAACAGGACGATCTCAATTGTCTTGTGTTTGCTAATGCTGTGAATGGAAGCACTGGGAGTATGCCCCTCGGGTTGTTGAAGTTCTCGAATAATCCTTTAGACTGCTTGCCGCATTAGTTGCTGTATAAAGCGCCACTAGGCTGTTTGAGTTTCGACACAATGCTACGACACTGGAGCTGAAAGCTTATAATCTGCACCACAAAAACAATTCCAAATCTGTGTCGATCTACCTCAGTCATTCCTCGATTGGTTTTCAAATTGTGCGATGACTTGTCTTCATTTGGTCACACTTGTAGCCCGATGTGTCCCAGTTTGGAGGGTGATTGACAAAAACACGTCATCATTTTGAAGCCTACAGCCCCTAAATTCCCCCATAATACCGAGAACTCGCCTAGCTCGGAAGAATTTTCATTCTTGGTAATATCAAAACAGATGCTTCGAGTCTTAACGAAGTTTATTTTTGAACCGTTTCATTTGTAACTTCTAGGGGCGCAGTTTTACTACATGATAGGTACATTTTTTGAAATCTTAACAATTTTCCCAAGTTTATTAAGTCTCTGAACGGTGAAATAGGTTCAGTGTAATTGAAAGTTTCTATGCATAAGTGCTTCTTGAAAGTTTCTATTCATAAGTGCTTCTTGAAACCCCAAGAGAAATTGGCCCGTCGAGGCATCGTCAGTTTATTTACAGTGTTGTGGCTCAAAAGGCCGGCACAATCAATCTACTTTGACGATGACATCATTAAATTCTTTTCCGTACAAGTAGTTGGTTGTAGTAGCAATATCTTCCATTACAAAATTTCAAACCAAATATGTGACTAAATCCGCAAAGTGAGTCTTGAAGTCATTTTCGAATTCGTGAGATTTATTTTAAAGATGAAATCGTCGGAGCTCCACACTTAATTTGTTTCAATGAACACTCCTTGTAGCAAATATTGTAATTAATGAATTAAGGACATGTTATTGTTCACTATGCCAAGTGACTTAAGACTCATTTTGCCAGGTTGTCGTAGATATTGGGAAAATAGTATTACAAAGAAGAAATAACAGTTTCATGCGTAAACTTAAGATCGTCGTCTACCATCATCTGTCGCCAAACAGTAGTGTTGAAAGAAATCTTCCAATTTAGCTTTATTGAATAAAACGATTACAGTCTTCTATATTTTCTTGTCCTTGACTTTATTTGGCTTCTGCTCTTGACTTTCCAGCTTCAGTGAACCTTGACCACAAATTGTGAATATAAGTACAGTGTGCCTTCCTTCTGTACCTTCTGTACGTCGGAGTCGGTTAAACTTTCGGAACAAAAAGTCCCCCCCCCCGAACCCGCACACTCCTGTTTGACGAATAGCGCCCTCTTCCTCTCCAATACCGCGCGGTTTCCTTCAAGTTGTGAACACACGAGGCGCCCTACGCAAAGAAAGTGCTTGGCTTCGTAGAAGTCTTCCACGAATCACACTGCCACAAATCGCATTGCTGATGCTCCAAAGAGCTTTGTTGTTGGCCAATCACTGCCTTGCACTTGGACCTGCACTACTCACCCATTCATTTCCATTCAGGCATTCTTAATGCGGTGACAATGTACTTGTTCGGTGTGATTCAACATAGCGGGATAAAACATGAGTCATAATGCGCCAGCGTCAAGGCCGTGCTTTTATTTTGTCGTGGCTTGGGAATGATGTGGCTTGTGTTCACTTTTGTACCACAACTGGTACCATGAGTCAAGTTCGCGGAATTCATATATCATGGAAGGTAAAACGTGAATGGAATACAGTCTTCAATTTCCTTTGTATTTGAATGAGGTTTGTGGCACGCTGCATGCCTAAGTCCAATCTGCCACAATTTGGTTAAGTTCGAATAGCAGGTGCGTAACTAGAACTTTGCTTGCCCGAGGAAAAATAGAATGCCGTCCTGCTTAAACAATTTTAAGCGTTCTAAGATTGCTTCCATCAGCGCTCTGATGATTCTTTTAAAGTGTCCATTCCGTTCCAAACTGCCACTGTTCGCACTCCCCCCCCCTTATGCTGTTGTCTAAAAGAAGGTGGTTCGGAATAGGAAATCAACATCAAAACAATTATTTTCTCCAGTTTATTTTAATTTCTCCCAAAGGTTGGCAAATATGAAGGCCACTCTACCATACCGATTGTGATTTAGATGTGCACACCGGTAGGATTGGAAGTTGTTTTACAAAATTTAACCCAAATTGGAACCGAAAGGAAATACAAAGCTTTCCCAATTTCTTTTTTGTTGTAAAGTAATGCACTATCGATTCCCATCTCCTTGTTCAAAAGATAAGAAAATATTTGGCACATTTTAACACCACAAGCTTCTACAGGACTGTCTTCACAAAATATTACATTTTTAACACGTAGGCTATATCCACTTCGGCACGGGGCATGTGTTCAAGCTAAGAAAATACAATGCTACTCAGGTGAAAAAGGCGCGAATTCCTTGTTGCGCAAAAAGTGGAGAATTAAATTCTTTTCAGACGGTTTTTTAAAGAGCCGACAGGTGCGTTCCACCAATGGCGATCTTTCCTTTGTTTGCCATTGTTCGGCTCGCGCATACCTGCCGCGCTGTCAACAAGAAAGTTTTTGACGGTCACGTTGATCACACACCTGAATGGTAGGAGAAAATGGCCGCCGG